GGGGGGGGGGGGGGGGGGGGGGGGGGGGGGGGGGGGGGGGGGGGGGGGGGGGGGGGGGGGGGGGAAGGGGGACCCTGTGGCAGGTAGCGATTAACGGGTGTTGGGTTGCAGCGGTGCGGTCGGGGGGAGTCAGCGAGGGTTGTCTCGCCAGGGTGATCGACATGGGGAGGTCACAGCACCGTCAGCATGAGGCTGCCGCGGACCATGTGCAAGACACATTCAAGGCCCGCTCCCCTGTCTATCGGTACCTGGTTGTCGGCCAGAAGGTCAACAACAAGGGGGTCATGATGCTCCTTTGCACGTTTTGCGACAAATTTTTCCAAGGGACCCAGTTTCAGGCCACGAGATACTTCTCGCAAACAAACTACTGCAAGGATGTCAGCGACGAGACGTTGTATGAGATTGCTCGACGGACTCAGCATAAGTTTGAGGCCGATCAGATGGAGAGGGTGTCGAGGTATGCAGTGGAGCGCGGACTCGATGTGCCCGGCACGGGTGGTGCAAGGGGAGGAGAGGCGGGGCGGCGTCCGGCGGAGGGAGGGGTCGGGGGAGATGGTGGGCATGGTGCGGCAAACCCCACTTTGGGTGGTGGAGGCGGTGAGATAGAGGAGGGCGTGATCCACGTGGATCGCGAGGTGCGTGGCCCAGGTGACGAGGGAGTCCCGGAACGGGAGGACGTGCCTGAGGTTTATCCAGGCACTAGGGAGAGGTTGGAGGACTGGCGGAGGCGAGCAGGCAAGGGAGCTGCGACGGAGGGGTCTTCCAAGAGGAAGGAAGGAGGGAGTGATTCGGCTGCCACCCCAGCAGGGAAGAGGCTTCGGCAGCAGAAGGTGACTGATGTCTACGGTGGCGAGTGGGTTGCCCGCCACAAGAAGGCATTCCTTCGCTGGTTGTATTCCAGCGGGGTCTCCTTCAATTTCTTCCGCAACCAGGCGTGGAAGGCATATCAGCAGGTGCTTCTTGAGCAACCTGGCAGTTCCCCGCGCGCAGTGCTCCCCAACCACTGTGAGATTGCGAGTATGCGGGCGTTGGAGACCCACCGTGCGGAGTTGGAGGAGGTGAGGCAGCCATTCTGGGTGACTGGTGCCACCCTCCTCTCCGATGGGAGGAAATCACGAGACGGGAGACCGATCGTGAATTTCCTTGCTGCTGGATCTCGAGGGGTCGTTGTGTACACGACGATCAATCGAGAGGGCGAGCCGGACGATGCAGTGCACGTCCTTTGTAGATGGGTTACCATCTCCCACGAGTTCAGCTTTGGCGGGCCGCAGCGGATCAATGCGATATGCACTGACTCCGCTTCTGCCTAGGTGGGGGCTGCGAGGGCATTGACCTCGCCGTCCATGCCTCCTGCACTGAGGAGGATCACTTGGCTCCCATGCTCCATCCATGTTTGCAACAAATTGTTGTCAGACATGGGGACGAGTTGCGACGCGTTTGTGGACGCGATCACACGCGCTCGTGTGCTGGTGGTGTTTTTCAAAACCCACCAGGCCGCCCTTCATTTTTTTAGGACGCGCAGCCCCGAGAAGGGGCTTATTCTTTCTTGCGAGACGCGGTTCGTGTCTATTTACTCCATGCTGGAGAGGCTGTTGGCCCTGCAGAACACTTTGCAGGACATGATGCGAGGGGACGACGCATGGGTTTTTGCTTCCATCCCGTGGTCCGCCGATGTGTGCGTCATGGCGCGGTGGGTGCGCCGACAGATCAGATGGGATCCATGGTGGCAGAGGGTGGCCACCATCGTCCATATCATGCAGCCCGTCATGGAGTTGCTCAGGAGGATGGATCGTGGAGGACAGTACATGTCCCTCATGATCGAGTGGACGCAGGATCTTGTCCGCCGTGTCACGGTCGCATGCGCCCTTTTGGGGACGTCGTTCGCCGACCGGATCATCAGGCGTGTGCAGGCTCGCATACAGCACATGCTTGAGCCGGCTCACTGCGCAGGGTTCTTACTGAACCCCCGCAGGCGACACGTTCGCTACTTTTCGGGGCAGGTGGAGAGGTACGATGCTTGGCTTGTGGGGCAAGCCAAGAGGTACATTTTGACGCAGATGGGATTCGAGTTGGATGGTGCGGAGTACATCCTTGCATGTCGGCAGTTTGAGGACTTCCACATTCAGCAGGGCAAGTTCGGGGATTGGGGCGGTCCGGAGGGGCATGCTTGTGGGCGCGCGTGCAGCGGCGACAGCGAGACGATTGAGTGCGCGTCTTGGTGGTCTCAGTTCGGGTCGGGCGCGCCACAGTTGCAGCGTTGCGCTCTTCGGGTGATGCACATGTGGTCTTGCGTCTCTCCAGCGGAGAGGAACTGGGCAGTCCACGAGGGCATTTACACGAAGAAGCGCAACCAGTTGACCTTCGAGAAGGTCGTGCAACTCGTTGAGATCACCGCAAATGTGCGGTTGACTGAGTATCGGCGGGCTGGATGCGGTTATGTGCTGCCATGGCAGCGGGACGAGGGCATGTTGGATTGCCAGGCAGAACTCCAGTTGGAGCCTGTGCGCATGGGAACTCGCAGGGGGATGACAGACGAGGAGATTGCTCGTCAGGTTGCACTTATTACCCGGGATCCCATCGTGGCATCCGCACCACCCTTGGCTGATGCCGTTTTCGATAGACGTGCTTGCATTTTTCGTCCCTACCCCCGGGACGATGACTCAGACGAGGACCCGATACCCGAGGCGGCCGACGACCCCGCGCTCCGCATTCCCCGGGAGATCGACGAGACGCACGAGGATCCCGCCTCCGAGGACACAAGGACACAGACTGCACGACGGGCGGCGGACCGGGCGGAGAGCGAGATGCTAGGGGGAGACGAGGACTTTTGGGGCCCATTCGGTGAGGTCGCTTCCAACGGGGGCCCAGAGGCGCAGGCGACGACCCCCACTCCGACGAGGTGGGATTCGTCCATGCCGCCACCTCCTTCTCCGAGTCGTGCACCACGATCGCCCATCTCGCCACTTCAGGCGGAGAGGGAGGAGTTGGGGTCCTCTTTGCCTCAGCGAGGCCTTCTCCACAGAGGCGGGGCAGTCCGCCAGCTTAGGTTACGATCACCTTCCCCGGGGATAGGGCAGGAGGAGAGGGGACCTTCGGCAGCAGCAGTGAAGAGTTCGATGGCACCAGCGGCTGTGTCGGACGCGACGATCACGGCCGCGGTGGAGGAGATAGCAGCAGCAGCAGCAGCAATGCTAGAGGAGATGGCAGCATCGGTGTTGGCGGAGGATCCACCAGCGGCAGGAGGAGGTGCCGCAGTGGAGGGGCAGGAGGAGCAGGTGGAGGAGCAGCAGCAGTGGAGGTTGAGGTGGCAGCAGCACTGGAGGAGGACGACGCACCGTCGGCAGCTGCAGTGGAGGAGGAGATAGCCGCACAAGAGGAGGTGCAGCGTGGGGGCGATGACGAGCGCTTCATGCAGCAGTTCCTCACGGAGGAGCTCGGTCCGGCCATAGCGGGTATGACCCCGGGTGTGGAGAGGGGGTTTGGGATTTCATATTCGGAGATGGGGACCCACTTAGACCTGGATTTGTCGGTGGGCCTTCCACCCAGTTGCGGCGGGGCGACATCGACGGATCGGGCTCCATCGAGGGACGAGGCGCCAGGCAGGACTTCGACGCAGACCGCCAGAGAGAGGACGACGACTCAGTCTCCAGATGCAGCACACGAGAGAGGGCTAGACTTTTGGCATCGACTGACCCTCGTGCTCAGGCGTTCGCACGGACCGTAGAGGACGCCAGGCGTCTAGAGATAGTGGGGGATTGTGTGCAGGGTGGGGTGGTGGCGGGGGAGGACGTTGCGGAGGGAGTGGCAGCAGAGCCGGTACCCGAGGCTATGCTGGGTGGAGCAGAGACAGCGGACGTTGCTGTGGAGGGACGGACTCAGGCGGTGGATGAGGCAGTGCAGGCAGGACAGCGACGAGTCGAGGGGGCTATAGACTCACGACGCGAGGGGCAAGAGACAGCGACGGGTCCAGTCCTTCCGTTCTTGGGCCTGCACTTGGCTCAGGCCCGACAGCCGCATGCGGTTCAGATGGCAGTGCATGGTGTGCCACCGCCCGTTATCACAGATTTGGGGTCCGAGCCGGTGGTTGTGCCCCCACGTCTTCCTAGCCACTTTGCTCCGCAGGAGGTCCATTGTCCTTTGGATGTAGAGGAGTTGGCGAGAGAGGCTGTGCGCGATGTTACTCGCTTGGACCGGCGGATCTTCGACCGGAAGCTCGAGCACCCACCGTGGCAGTCGATCCCTTCGGTTCCATGGGGTCTTGCGTCGCCCGTGTGGTCTGGGTCTACCTCCACTGGAGGACATACCGCGGGACATGTTCCAGGGGTTTCGGGTGGTGTGACGGAGACAGCGCCACGCACAGGAGACATGCCACCCCCTCCTCCCAGAGCACCTGCAGGTGATCCATCATCGTCACCCACAGGCAGAGGCTCTCGATCCCCACACACGCCTGGGAGATCTAGGATTCGTAACACGACAGCAGTTCAGCAGGACGTGTGTGACACGACAATATTCGGGAGGACAGATATACATTTGGATTCCACCCGCCGTGTCACGGAGCACACTGCACGCCTTCAGTCGGGCTTGGGAGGAGAAGGCGCTAGGACGACCACGGCGAGGGAGGTACCGGCATCGGGTTGTGAGCCTCAGCGAGGTCGTGGCAGAGGAGTGTCGACCGATACCTTGGAGTACGCTCTGAGAGCAGTGACGCGTGCCATGCAGGAGCAGACTCCACGCAAGCGTGGAGTACCTCCTCGTCCACGCCCCGTGCCTGTAGAGGGAGGCGCAGCACTTGGGGAGAGTTCGGGGGCGGAGAGGTTGGAGATACCTCGTGGTTCCCGCCGTGAGCAGACCATTGCAGAGGCTAGTGCGAGGGTTCTTGTGTTGAGGAAGGGAGGAGGCCCCATCACCATCGAGGAGGATGATCCTGATACGGATGCGGCTGTGCGGGATGCGGACGAGGACTACGAGGGCGAGGAGAAGGGAGAGGAGGATAGCAGGAGCAGTTCCGATGGTGACGACGATGACGACTACGACGAGCCCCCACCTTCCCCAGGACCCCCACCGACGCGTGCATCTAGACGCTCCGCTGCACGGATTTCTTCATCGTCACGAGGGAGGAAGAGGTCGACATCCGGCACTCGAGGGGGCACGAGGAGACACAGCGGGAAGGGGAAGAAGGGTCGTTGACCGATGAGGCCAACACTCCGCTTCTCCCCTACTCGCACTGTACGTCGTCATGTTGTGTGGTTGTAGTTTTTTTGGTAGTCTGAGTCGTCTCGTCTTGTCTCAGTATTGTCGGACACTCAGTGGTTGTGTGCGTGCTTTACTTGTTGGTGTGTATGATTTTGGTAGCAGTAGGGTGTTCGTAGAGTATGATTTTGGTGCCAGTAGGCTGAGTAGGGTGTTCGCAGAGTGTCGTCGGTTGCACACTACTGAGTTCAGACTGTACATTATTTTTTTTTTCTTGTATCATTTAGGCAGCTACGACACGACTTGTAGACTATTATTTCCTGTATTTTTTTTGAAATGTGGTGCCAGTGCATTAGCAGTACCCTGTAGGATACATTGTATCATGTTGCATTTGCATGTGTGATATTAGTGTCAGCCTGTCAGGTACTTCACATCGTTCACGACTTTTCATGTACATTACATT